TACAGAAAGATTTTTATTTTTAACATGCCAGATTATTGTACTTATCTGCTCTTAGAAAATATGCACTGTATAAACATATCTTTTATCTTGAACTTCAGTATTTCTGTGCTTCCATGAAGAGTAAAAACATCTGGTTAAATTACTATGTGCAAGTACAATCTGCAGGCAAAACCCTGTATGAATTGCATATAAAATAAACGCTGGCTTCAGTTCCTTTCGCTTTTCCAAATGTTCAGTGTGACCAGTCTGTTGAAATCGCACCCCCGATACATGTCAGCACAACGATAACTCATGTACCGAAATGCTGCTTTTCTGAATAAAATCAAGTTCTGTTCTTGTTCTACAGCTCCTAATGCTTTAAAGTTTAATTCTGTTATGTGTGTTCCCCCCCAACAAAGCCCCCCCAAACTGGATTGGTACAAAGTGTTGCACACCAGCGCTGATGGCTCCAAGGGACTGGCTGGACGGAGTTGTCATGTGTCTGCCTGTCTACACTTGCTGTGCAGAACATCCTCTCACCTGTACAGCAGGCACAGACAGGCAGTCGCATGACAACCCAGCCTGAGGGAACAGCCGCCAGTGGGAAACGGCTCTGACACCCCAGAGCACCTGCACCACCAGCTCCAGCCACGAGTCACTGGATCCCAGACGGCCGGTCAGTACCAAGCTGCGTGCTGCAACCCACCCAGAGTCAAACACTGCCTATAAACTACAATAAAACCCACTGCTGAAATTTTTACTGTGCTTCCTATAGTACTCTTTTCCTAGTTGTTCTCATTAACTCACTAACAGTAAGTTTTATTTATACGCAGCTCTGCGGCACCTCCATATGTTTTGTCCTTCCATTTAATTCCTAGGCATAACTTGAGCAACTTGCATTATTAGATTATTGCTGTATCAAACTCACTGACATTCCTGCTTGCCACAGAAGCCAAGAGCAGTCTGTTGTGGGGCAAGTTAATTCTGTAAACACACACAGTGTCAGACCTTAGAGTAACTTCTCCCCTTGCCACTCTCTCACCTCCTCACTTACTTTTGTATCTTGCTCCCAAATCTCACATAATTTTTTTTTTTTACAACTGGGAATAAACTGTGAAATTATAATACAAACTACATCTATGACCAGATGTTGACAATACTATCATTTCCTATTGAAACAGAATGGAAATATTTTCTTTGAAAATAAGACCAAAGGGCATTTTCCCAATACATGTAAATTTCACATTTTTAGAAGTTCTAATCCTAGAGTGCAGCTTGGATTCCTTTGCACACCAATAATGCCAGCAAAATCTCTAGATGCTTTAGAAAGAATAATAAAATCACAGTCTGTGACCATGCCCTGTAAAAATGCTACACAACTTTACAAATGACAGCCATTTGTTTACATTGAGAGTTTTTGGATTCACAAGCATTCCACATCCCCAAAGTCCATTTCATCCTGACACAGGAGTGGCTAATTCACAAACTTTGTATTTGCAGGGTGACTCTCAATGAACCTCCATTAATGCTACTTAACAAGACAGTAACAACTGAAAGCTAAAATGCTCAGATTTAATAATGTGTGTGTAGCTGTGCCTTAAAACGCTCCAGCTGGGATTACATGGAATACTCTATGAAATAAAGCTGTATTTGTAGGGTCACTGAACGTTCTAATCTTGCACTTATTAACAGCAGCCTCAAAGAGGTGCACAGCATTTTCCTTGTTTCATTTTTAAGTGGAAAAGCACAAAGTCATGGTCCTGGTCACACAGCAAAGTTATGAACACAAGCAACTGTGTGCAGGATCAGAAACTAGCCCAGATTAGTACTCCCAGAACTAATACTGTAACTGCTTTAAGCACACTGTTCAAACATCAACTGGATATTTCCATAACAACAAGCCTAATAAGCATTCTTAGGCACCGAGTCCCTCTCACTAGGAGTAAAATCCTGTTGTATGTTTGACAGACACGAAACCATGTCAAGAAACCAATTCTTTCTTTTGTAACACTGATATCATACACCAAAATCTGAAGTCTTTTGCCAAAGCAACTTGCTTCAAAACGCATTCCACTGGGGATTCATGACTTATAAAAGCTGCACCTCACAAATAAAGGAAGCAATTTACATCCTGCTCATGGCACTAGCAAGCAACCACTAGCACTCAGAGTGATTTTGATGTCAGAGTAAATTCCAGACTAGAAAATGGTCTCAGCTTACACTAGAGGGGGTACACAGCCCTGGAGGCCCCAGCAGGCACTGGAGTTTTGGAAAGTACATTGTCAGAGCTCTCTGGTACAAAGCTGCTACCACATTCCTTGCTCAGGGGTACAGGCACAGGGGGAACAAACCCATCGCTGTGGCAAAAGGACAAAGGTGAGACCTGACTCTGCATCGTCCCCAGCTGCAATGGAGGGATCGGTGCTGCTGTGAGGGGACTGCAGCAGTGACCAGCCCGAGAGGGAGGACGGGGGCTCCGAACTCCCCATGACCCCGAAGGGCAGAGCCAGAGACACAAACACGGTTATCACTTCTCACATCCCCGGGACTTTGAATCTCACCGGGGGGAAACACACCCGCACAAAGCCGGTTCAGTCAGCAGCTGAGAACAGGATGCGACAACTACCAAATCACGCTGAAAATGAGGAGAACGTTTTAAGGAGGCAAAAAGCAATTATAAAAATTGGAATTCAGCCAGGAGATCATATATTTACTTCTTTATTTTCAAAGCCCATAGTGTCTGTTTCTGAAACAAGTCACTTGTCTTTTGACTAACAGCCAAGATGTGGCTTTGACCTTCTTCGAAAAGTAGCTGGAACAGACCTTACTAATTTTTTTTCAGTCCTACTAAGAAAGGTTCAGTACAAAAAAAAAAAAATTAGAAATCATAACTTTGTATACTCTTTACCAGGAAAACATAATCAAATTATACAGCAAATCTGTACTTAAGGAGGAACTTTTTCTACCAGCAAAGCACAGAATAGTACTATCCTGTTATATTCTCTTGCCACTCTATGAAATTTCCTCAGTGAGCTCCCATATTGGCCTGAATGAACTACTGGCATTTTCATGACTCTCAAAACATAACTGTTTGGCAATTAAGAGACATTACTTTAAAATATGTATTTAGAAATCACCCAGTGGCTATTTCTTTCCATGTACTATTCTGAGTTTCCCAGGTGACTCCCTCCAGCAGACTACCAAAACTAATTATTTATTTTTTAAAGTTGCATCGCACAAGACATACCATTAGCATTTATAGGAATTTTTATATTCCACATTAAACAAAGACCAGACTCAAAAAAGTCTAAAGAAACTACATAAAAAGTTGCCATAGCACATCTTGGATGCACCTCCAACTGCTTGAGACAGAACACAGCAAGGGGTGTTAATTCCCCCCATCGCTTGTTTTAGTTCCAGTTACCTGTACTGAACCTAAGAAAGCAAGTTCTAGTAACCTTGAGGCAGATCACAAAAACCAGCAGCTTCAAATTTTCAAATTCATTAAGTGACTTTTGCATTTCTTTCAAAGTATATTTCAGCAATTTGAGAATAAAACTTCCCCTCTTAACATTTGTCCTGAGGTTCCTCTCCTCTGCTTGGCACACACTTGTTTTCCTGTTACAGTAAATACATTTGAATTCCTTTAAAACTTAAATAAAAGGGCAAGGGGTAAAATCTTAAAAATTAACCTAATTTGTCCCTCAGTCTTAAGGTCTGTCCCAAAATAGCCACTGACCCAAGGAAAAAACCAACCAACCAAACCCTACTGACCAGTACAGTTTCCGCCATCAGTAGCATTACTGAGGGAACTCCCTATGGCAAGTACCACAGTCTGGATTTGCAGGACTCAGGAAAGCTCTGACTCTACGCACATGCACTGCAGGACCTCTCCCCACTGCTTCCAGAAAATCTACTGCAGTAAAACACTACACTGGTTTAAAGAGAATATGAATTGTCTGCAGTCCCCATCAACCAGCTCCCTGTTTTGCTGGGATCAGCCAGTGTTGTGATTATTATCTAGATTAAGATGGAAAGACTGAGTGATGTTTTACCGCTCATTTCAAACTTTCTCTTTACCTGTGCCTCTTCCATCCAATGAACTGGTTCACCCTAAAAATCACTAATTTTTTTCTGGAAATACTTAACTTAAAAAAATTCAGAAAATAATAGGATTTCTTTTTAAATGTAACCCAATTTTTCTACAAACACCAACACAAACCTTAAAATAACCCACAAAGGTCTTACCATAAATCTGACAGTGCATATAATAATCCTATTTTAACCTTCAAAATACTGCTGGAGTTTTGGATAGAGCACATCATTACAAACATTGCTGAAAAAATAATGAAACAGAACTAACAAGCTTCCTACTGGTATATTCAATATAGTGAGCAATCTTGATGTCCTTTTCACCAGAAAAATGCTTTTTCCAGTTCCCATATTACTCACCTTCAGATTTACTGATCATCCACAAAAGCACACTTTTTGTGAAATCTGAAAATCCATACCAACAGCTACAGAACTCTGCAGACAGGCTTTTCACCATCTCAGAATATGAGGACGAAGAATTGTTATCATTAAACCAACTGCTGTAGTTACTTTTAAAAGTAACTTTACCCAGACGATTTATGATCAACTTACAGTAGATGTGTAAGAGCAGCCCAAACAGGCATAGGAAAATATCCACAACATTTCAGAACAGCTTGGGTTTTTTCCCTTTTTTTCTTTTTTAGAGCAATGTGTGGAAATCACAGGAAGAGAGGGGAAAAAAGGAAAACAACAAACAAACAAAAACACCCCCCACAACACCCTTTCCTTGTTATCAGCATTTCAACAGAAGTCTTAGACACTCAGCATTCTTCATGAATCAAAACAGAAATTCAAAGAACACAGCTAAAACCTTAAAACAATCTTGCAGTTCGAGGCTGTACAAGCTGATTTAATATTTCAAGCTAGTATCAGAAGACTGAATTAGTACTTCTCTTTTCCCCAGTAGTATAAAGTTCTTCATTCCTTACCTCATCATCTTTATACCAGGACAAGCTTTCCGCGGTTAGAACGAACCAGTATTCCTTGGATCCTCCCTTCATGATGCCAATATTGTTGATGGTCAGCCAGCCTTTCCGAATGACCTATGCAAAGGTGCAGTCAGGCACAAGTTTAGATCATTACTCACTTGACATAACTCTGTTGTTGCATTTATTCTTTTAAATAAAGACTTGCTAAATAAAACAAACAGGTGCATTTTTTCAGTCTCTGGCAAATTCAAGGGTTTCTACACATTCCTATCATTCAAAAAGAAAGTAATAAAATGAATATGTTTTCAGTCAAAAGTCTGGAGAAAGGGAGAAGCCTAACTATCAGAATGTTGTACTTAGAGCAAGTATGAGCGTGTTAAGGACCATGTAAACTTGAAGGTATTTATTTGCTGTACAAGACACATTGTAAAAGTCCATACAACTTTATATCTGACCATCCTGTTCTAGTCTAATTGCTAAGGTCATTTGTAAAGTTGGATACAAGGAAAAGCACCTAGATAATGGCAAAGTGAGTGGCTTCTGCCACACATTGGGAATTTTCAAAATGGGTTGTATCGAGTGACAAAGTGGAGTTCTTCTACAGTTAATTTAAAATTAAGGTAGGAAGCGGTAAGGAGAGGTACGTGAGAGATGTTTTCTTCTAAGGTGGAAGAGAAAAAAAAAAAGAGGAAGAAAAAGCCTAAGGCAGCAATAAAAATTGGGGGAGAAAATGGGTAAAGCAGAACTTTATAAAATAGATACAAGCCAAAGATGAAAAAAAAGATGGGAACAACATAGCTATAAATACTAAGGGCAGGAGACTAAATCACAGACAGAGAAAAAGGGACAAAAGAAAACCTAAGAGGAATGAGAAGTCCAGAGGTGAAGAAAGGAGAATAATCGTGAAAACTCATTAACAGATCAGAGAGAAACTTTCCACTTCATTGGAACATTTGTTTTCCAATGCAAATATGAGAAAGTAAACATTCCTTCCTATAATACTCTGAACAAGACAACAGAACTCCCCAGTCACACAGATGCAGGGGACCTCAGCCATTCTGTTTCTCTGCACAGCAACACCCTTCACTTGCCTATGAAGTACTGAGATAGAAAAAAGTGCCCAGAGAAGCCCTTCAGAATCCCCTCAACAAGTCCCACAGGCTTGTTGGTCAAAAATGAGTTTCCTGTTGTATTTAAAGAAATATTTGAGACTGACATTCCTCTCACAGGGCTTTACAAGACCAGTAACTCTGCTATCAACAACTCACCAAGAAGAACATGGCTCATCACCATCTATTCCTTGTCATCTATGAAAGTTTCTGAATCAGGATTCACTCCCACTCACCATGTTTGTTCATGTAAGCTCCCTGAAAAAAACAGCTTTGGTTTTGCACAGAGCAAGGGACTAAGTTAAATCTGATAACTAAACTAAAGAAGAGATCAGAAGTTCCTGAAAAGCAGGAACTTGTATTGGAAATGCACATAATCCAAGAGTATCCATTTAATTTCAAATAGGATGATCGTGTTTTCCCACTTACTACCAACCAGGTCAGCAGTGTAAGAAAAGCCCTGAAGACCCAAGAAAATACCTAAGAAAGCAGTGATTTGGTTCTGAAGTCTCAGTAAGCAATAAGAGAACTGGACATAACTCCTGTAAAGAGACTCAAGCACAAGCAGATTGGATGGAACAGCCTGTTCTGCAAAGGTTTCTACAAAAGTTGGTTGGTATTTTTAATATTCATGGTCATTGGGAAAAAAATAAAACACTATGTGGAGAGGGGCATTAGTGAGTACAAAAAGATGGAATGCTTGTCTGAGTGCAAGTTAAGGGAAACATACTGATAAGAACTTGATTACCCATCAAATCCTCATTTTATTTTACGATGTTTATTGAAGTAAACTTTAACAGGAAACAGCAACATGTATATATAACCAGTGTACTGGCCTTCAGGCAGCTGCCACAGAACAAGTTGTGGAACAAAACTAGTTCTATTTTCTTTTTCTGCACTGAACCACACAAATGCAAAGGGAACAGTTTTGCAGGAAAAGGAAGGAAATTAAGGCTTCCCATTCACTTGAACTTAGCTCTGCAGTAAGGAGAGCTGTATTTGTACAGCAGACTAAATACTTCACAGCACACGTGCAAAGGTGGGTATTCCCAGACTAGAAAGAAACTGAAATCAGAGGGTAAGAGAGGAAGCTGTTGAACCACATTGTCTGCAATTGAAAATGTAGTGTTGCTCTGTGTAAAGCTCATATCCACACACAGGAACACAGACAGCTGGGGCAGCACACCACTGAAAACTAGTTTGGAAACACATCTCAGAGAGGGTAAAAGATTTGAAGAGAGATGTCAGTGGGGATAAAGAGGTGGTTTCTAGAGGCAAACCAGTAAGACACACCTGAATAGTTGGTTCAAAAACCTTATCCATGATGAGCACTTCAAAGGAAAGGGAAGTAACATTCTCTGCTTATTCCATCCAGGCCTTTCCATCACCGTGACCATAGCGTCTGTAATGTTAATAAGACCCTAAACATGTTAATAAGAGTCAAATTTTCTCCATTTGACAAGAACACATTTGTGGTAGAGGTCTCGGAACAAACTAAGTCAAGGTTTTTAAATCTGAACTATGCAAGCCATTTAAGAAGTATAATGAAATTTTTAATACTTCTAATGTAGGAACTACATTAGGTTGCACAGCTCCAGAAGACTGTCACGCTCGAGTCCAACACATCTCCCCATAGATGCAGAACCATCACTCTTTGTGGACAGAAACAAGCTGACTTGCTAATACAAACATTGGTCACTGTCTCGTAAAGGAAGGAATTTGCCAGTTGTTTCCTCAAAAATCCTGTGTGCTGAGGATTAGATCCAGCTGTCATTCCCACACAACACTGCACGAAGAGCAGGACACCAACCTACAGCAATATCCTGGGTATGTATTTTTCATACGTGCAATCTTCTGGACCTGCTTATCTGTACTCCTCTGGGAAAATACAGGATCCCGTGTCTTCTAAAATATCCTGGGCACTATGACAGCTAACAACTATCTAAAACACTAAGAACCTGTTCCAGGGGACACCAAGAGGGAGAAGATGAGCTTAGTATGCTAATCCTCATGTTCTTCTCACAGAATTCTTCCTGTGTCCCAGGTACATTCTGTTAACTACAAAGAGCTGCACTTACAAAATACTCAGCACCAGTGTCAGAGATAAAGGGGAGGGAGATGTTGGATCAAGGAGTAAATTCAAGACAAAGTGAGATTGAGCAACACAGTTTTACTTTCCAGAGAAGCTGAATCAAACCTTAGACTCCAGTCAATTCCTAAAAAAAGTAAGCTATATTTTAGAAATAAGTGTTCTTCCATGGGCAATAAGCAGCTATGCTTTTCAAAGATACTTGTGAATTTTAAAAAACCTCTAGGGTATTGTTTTGTGTTAATGTTAGGAATGTTTTATAGCACTTCAGCTTAAAAAATGAAAGCAGTGTGTTTCGTTATTTTCACAAGTTCATTTGCTGGTTGGTTTGTATCTAAGAGAGACATTTCAATATTTTCTATCGTATTTCTAAATGTCACTCCGTGCAAACCGGATATTAGTGACATGAGTTCAGGAAGGTGAAAAATATGGGCATTGCCAGAAGCTCATGAAGACAATATTCTGACCGGTAGTTGGACTCCATGCACAGGATGAACAAGAGATGACAGTTCCTTCCTTCAGGATCCTGATACCTAATCTGGGTGTCTGAAAAATGAAACTTAGAGGCTACGAATTTATATGAACAAGCCAGAAGGAAATCATTTTCTCATAGTTCAGCTGCACAAAACCCAAATCATATTTGTTGTTTTTACTCTCCAGGACTTCACAGATAAACAGGAAAGCAAGATTTGACACAATAAGCACATTTTATGAATTGCTACATGACTTCTTTGTTGCATTGAATCAAATGAGGTATTTGTAAAAGAAATACATTTAAAGAAATGGAACACTTTCTGATTCTCTAAAGAAGTATTTGAGGAATGATTTCAAGATAAGTGAGGTAAGTGAAATTGTCTGGGCAGACAGAAATACAAGTGTGAAAATCATGAGACTGGCTTCTCTCACAACATTCCAGCAGCAGCACTTGTTAATATAACTCTATTAAAGTTGTATTGCTTAACTCCATTGAAATAATTCTGAACACAGAACACAACTCCCAGTACTACTCTGTCGTCCAATCACTGTCATAACAACACATGTTAGCAAATAGTAAGTACATCGAGAGAATAAAAATTGGAAAAACTACTCTGTGAAGCACCCTTATAAGCTATTGGTTCTTTGTGTTCAATTATGAAGATTATCTCACTTTACATATTAGAGGGGAAACCTAATACAGTATTTCACTGTAATTTGCCAAATGTCAGAGCATAAACTCAGATCTGTTCTGACACTGAACACAAACAAGATCTTGTGATATTGCTTCCCTACAAAACACTGCACAGTATATTACATAACTTAAAAATAATGACAGTGGCTAAAGTCCTAAAAACAGGCCTGCTTTAAAGAAAAATTTAGTCTTTAGTGAAGCAAAGCACTCAGTGGTGAAAAATTTAAACGTTTCCAAATACAGTTAAACAAAGATTGAGATGAATAAGTCAAACATGAAGGAATCTTAACCCAAAAAATAAGTAGTCATGTAGAATGGCAATACTCCTCTAGTCTTGATAAACGGAAATTCAAAAGCAGCATGATTCACGATGCTAAATTTTGAAACATTCTTGAATGTGTTAGCCTATGGGCACCACTTCTTCTACAGAAATACTGGCATTTCTTAAGACAACAGCCTTGTCATGATTTTTCATGACCACCTCCACTGACCATGGCACAGGGTTCCATTTCCATCTGGTTGCTTAAAAAAATTCCATAAACATTTTTTTCCTGGATCATGCAAGATAACAGGATTTAAGTATATCTGAAGAGAAGCAGCAAAGTATGCTACAAAGCAGGATTAAAAGAAAAAAAAAAATAAAAAAGGGGTTACTAGGGGAAAAGTTACTTATTAGCACTATAGTTCAGGCCAACCAACGGGGTCTGAATGCTACCTGTGTCCAGAACAAGTGAACCAGGTTGCTGGTGTAACACTGCAGAAGAGGCAGGTCAAACAAAGCCTTCAGACCCAAATCTCCAAATCACTTGGACAGTGACTTGAAACAGTTCACATTAAGCCTCTTCTCCAATTACAGGGGCTACTTCAAGCAAAGCAGCAGATTTTGCCACTGAAGCAAATCTCAAAACAGAATTTCATATAAATTACATATAAATGACATATAATGCTCTATAATTTGAGTGTCTTGCATTCTCATACACAGAGTATCAATTCAGCACATGGAGCAATGACACCTTCATCTTCAAAACTTTACCATGAAGGGGAGATTTAAACATTAAATTTTAGTCACCAAAACAAATCTCAGCACACAACATACACAGTTAGGAGTGGGTCAGCTTTCAGGAGCTGGACCTTGCTAGTGTGCTGTGTAAAACCAAGCATTACACTGATTACTTCAAGCAAATTAGAAGACAGACTAACCTGTGGCTTAAAAAGAAACTTTGTGGAGTCAGGTCAAAGCCTCAGGCGGTAGCAAAGAAAAAAACAAACAAAAAAAGGCCAAAGATTAAGTGTGAGAGGATAAATTAGTAGCAGAGGAAAGAGGAGCAAAAACATGTTAAGAGGAATTGGCATTATCATCCAAAAATGAGGTATTGCTGTCCTCATCTTATTTCCAAGATACACAGAAACACTTAATAGTTATCTGCATCATTCCAGTTCAAAGCAGCTACTAAAAAGAAAAGCAACAGATTGCAAATGAGCATCCCACTATTTTGGGAAAACGTAGTGATCTTAATCTCCCAAGGGATTCAATTCAACTGCTGTTAGAATCAGTGCTGCCTAGTACTTTTTCCATGTTTAGTTTAAAATTATAACTCATATAATTTGTTGATGTGGCAACAAAACTGCAACTGTATGTTTTCATCACAGATATTGCCAAAGACTGCACACAATACAGAGATTTATTTCTTGCACCTATCACTGAACAAGGAGTAACTTGTTATAAAATTAACTGCAGTTTAGACAATTAATTCTAATTAGTAATATTAAAGACATTCAAGTATTTATTTACTCATGAGGTGGAAGGGTTAGAAAAGAGTTTGTCCATGATATATTGATCCTCCTGGTGCTCTGAAAAGAATGCTAAAACAGCTTTAAATATTTTCTTTCATAGAACTCACTTTTTCTATCAGAAGTAATTCCTTGGCATAAACAAAACACAAGAACAGTACCTGTACCCATAAACAGCATGTTCATTTACACAGGAGCTAATGTTTCCTTTTGGTTACCAGAAACTTATTTGCCCACCATTCAAAAGGAGGTCCACTATGAATAGAGGCACTTATATCAGATAAAAACTGCTTTCCACTTACATAATAAAATATAACACCAATTAGTCATTTTAGTTTGAGGAACTCAGTAAATTATAAAAATATTAATTCTATGCAAAGTTTTCTACAACATTTTAAGTTAAACTAGTTTAGACTTGTACCAGCAAGTTAGAAGCAGTTAAGTGATGAACTGCAATTATACTTTGTTGAGAAAGTGTTACAGACAAGACAGCTTAACATTAAATAGTTTAGTAGCAAGTATTTAACAAACCAATGAGTTAGAGACAAACTTTGCCCTCTGAGAAGCTAAATGAAAAAGCAACAATAAAGCTTACAGAACTTAGCTCGTACAATTTGCCTTGAAGGCGGTAGATTGGTTCCCTGAAATAGCAAATTGCAAAAATGAAGTTTTATTTCAGAAACATTTTCTCATTCTTTTCAACTCCAAACAATTAACTTACAAACATCTGTTTATTATCTCTAAAATAAAAGGTTCAGCAAAGTCCTTTATACCAGAATTAATCAAGTGTCAACATCGAATTTAAAATGCCAAGCTTTTCCTCCACTTCTTTAGAGAGAAAACATTCACTTAATTAAAAAATCATTCATTTTATTTGTGTATTTTTGAAGAGTCAGATAATTGGTCAATTTTCCTTTTATGGGACACTCCAAAGTGATGACAGTTGTTGTGTTTGACACATGTTCCGGCACAGCTAGATAAGGAGGAAATCTCTCCTCAGAGGGGAGAGACTCGTCTTTGAAGCCATTTCAGTGTTTAGACCTTCCAGGGTTCTTTTTCATTTTAATCCAAACCATATATTACATCAAAAATGCCACTCATGCTGGTCAGGCTGTAGGGGACCATTCCATCCAAGAAGTTATTGGATTATTTTAAGTAATGTCTCAAAAATAACTAGCAATTTTTTGGTGGGAGGAAGAGATTGAATTTCTATCCCCAAAAAGATAACTAAATTTTCAGAAAATGCCAACAACTCTTGTCCTATGAGAGCAGCAGAATAGGAGATTTACTGAAACCTCGGGTTTATGACCTGAGGGATCTAAACTCAGTGGTCACATTTGAAAATGTTGACCTTTCTCCTCCTGAGTACTGTTTGATCAAACTGCATGTGAAAACATCAGGAAGATGTTCAGTACTGGTAAGTATTTATAGAAAATTTCATTGTCTTATTTTTACTAGAATATTTTATTTCCTTCTAAAGTATGTACTAGTTCCATAATGCTTTTTTTTTCTCTGTTTAAGACTTTGCAAAACCCTCAAAGTGAGCATAAACTCTCCAAGGTTATAGTATTTTTATTATTTTTATCTCATATTAAGAAGAGGATTGATCCTGCAAAGTTCTGAGAGTTCCTGGCCCACATAAAAGCAAAGAAAGAAGCAAAGCTCAGGAGCCTCAAGCATCTTGCAGAATCAATCTCATACTCTTATGTGACAAAAAGAAACAAACAACTAATGAATCTCAGTGAAAATGCTAATTAATCTGAGGCCATCAACCAGTTATTCTTTGTTTACTTCGAGAAAGGCCTATGGTACAGAGTCAACACCTTTGTGAAGGTTTCAGCAGAGGGAAAGGCAAATCCACTTTTGCTTGCTGAATTGCCCTTCACTGCTGTTAAGCTGAGAACACATGAGAAGTAGGAAAACACTATGACAAAGCACACACAAGCAAGTACTCACCAGCATTTTGGATTCTGAAAGTGAGAAGTTTGCAGTTAATGACAAAACACATCGACGTGCAACATGACAGATTCAACGCACTGCCCGCCATGGGAGGGGAGGCACTAACCAGGAGTGCAAGCAGGAGCAGAAATTCTAAACATTAAATGATGGTAACAATGGGAGTCAGGTGGCTCTGAAAAGTTCAGCAAAACAAGGCGATAATGACGAGTTTTATGTATGTTCGAAGCAGAAATGGTAAATGACACACAGCAGGAAAATACAGCCAAGAAAACCAAACAGCTTGGGTTAACTTGCACATGCCATTATCCATTCTCTGTTAGGTGCCTACCTGATTTCCCACTGCACTTTTGTTAACCTGACTGCTTCTTTGTTGGGCACTAAGGGAAGCAGAGGAAAAAAGTTACGCTGAAGAAACTTGAACTAAGTCAGTTCCTGAGGAATAGATTTTAGCAGCAATAGTTACTTTGGATTCCAGCAGAAAAAGCTAGATTAACACAGCAAAAGAAACACAGCAAAATCATTGCATACATGTGCATATTTCAACTGCTTTTCTACCTGCTTATATTTGTCTGCTTAGAACAGAAGAGACATGCACAGGAGACAGTGCCTACTAATCATATCCTTTGCAACAACATCCAACTTGGATTGGTAAAGGTTACTAAAAAGCACAGAGAAATTATGGCTCATGTGGGTAACTTTGGAAACATTGGCCTCTATAAATATTCAGAGGAGACAAAGAGCCATTTCTGTTATTTAGCACAGTACAACAAAATCCTCCCCTGCTGGAGGCTTCTTAATAGCTTTGTCTTGACAGTTTGTTTTGGATATTATTCTAATATTTATATGCACTTTGAGGGTGTAAATATAACCAGTGGATGAAGCCGTCCCAAAGCTGGTTCAAAGCTGAAATCGTATAAGAATAGAACACATTCGAAATTAAAGCATATTTAAAGTATTTTACTCAGTTCTCAAACTTTGGTAATCCCAGTTCCTGAAACAAAACAAACTCCTGTCTCAAAACCAAACAAGTTGCCATTAATTCTAAAAGCATTTGCATTACGTGCTGGTTTGTGTTAGGCCACAACATTAAAATATTTCTGGAAAGAGGCAGAAAAGCATCCAGAGAGAAAGCTTTGGCTGCTCAACCACCAGAGTGAGCACTGGCAACAGGAAGTTTTGTTTGGATTAGATTATACCATTTCACCAGGCATTGATTAACTGAAGAAAAAAGCATCCATATATTAGATCAGCTACAAATGCTGCTCTGAAAAAGAAAGGCAGAAAGATGTGCTTGGATCAGAGCCTACAGGCCAATCCTGCCACTGTTTTGTGCACAGCTACTGCTCCAAAGAACTGCTGAAGCACCAAACTCAACCCCATCCAAATTCTGATCTTGCCCTTTGGGTCACACTCTATTAAACCAGCAGTCCACATGCTGTCTGTGAGAAGATCCAAAAGGATATTTATTCTGTGTGCCTACTCTCTGCATTTAACTCCCTATCATCCTGATCCTTTTGCCCAAGTGACACTGTATGTCCCTGGTGCATCGTCTGAGCTGCATAAGCTTTGGGGCATAAATTATGATTAAATAATGTGCACACAGAAAAAACAGCACTAGCCCATCAACAATTCTGAAACACACCTCAGATGGCTTTAGGAAACTTAATTGCTATTCTTTTGGCTTGATTTTTTTTTAAATTCTATCATTTTAGAAAGCTAATTAAACCTTGAACACCATACTAAGAAACTCATGCCTTTTAGAAATAGTCCACCAATTGGTCCTCTATTTACTGTTCTAAATACAAATTACTCTTTTTGTAAATTGAAGCACACAGCTATGCCTGAGTTACACTGACTGGAAACAAACCCAAACCCAAAATTTTACCACTTGTACTGCTAAATGAAACAAACATTAATATTCCAAGATTTCATAACTGCATGAACGTACAAAGTTGTCCTAAATACTGGCATTCTTAAAACCCTCTCGAGACAGTTCACATCACACTATACCTGCCTCAGGCCCTGCAATGCTGCAAGGTAGTTTGAGATGTCTTGTGCTTTATTTTTATGATCAAGGTTCACAGGACTCACACTATTAAAACACTGCAGGCACAAGAGATGAGGGCCTAGAAGCCTCAGCAAAGGAAAGGAAACACCAGGGAATCTGGGGAATATATAGTTCAGGATGTTCAGATGCTGGAGAGGACCACATGCTACCCAAAAATTATTTATTTTCAAGTTCTAACATAAATGAGATAACAATAACATGCTTATAGTTTCAAACTATTATTTTCTTCTGTTTAGCTCATAAGTGAATATATTTTAAATTGTTCTTCGCTATCCAAATTCTTTCTTTCAGCTGAGCAGAAGTCAACAAGGATACTTTGCTTCCCACCTGTTCCAACCTAGAGCAACCTTGCTTAAACTTACAAGTGAACTTAAGTGAAGAGTCACTTGTTAACTGCTTATACCCCGTGCACAGTGGCTGGGGATTTCTAAGTCTCAGCTGGCAAAAGAGGAAGCAGTTTTCCCAAAAAACTGAACTCGGGCACTGCAACACCTTGGAAAAGACATAGCACTGAGGACCATGGACTGAACTACAGGCCACAGTAGCAGCATCCAGGAGGGAAATTTTTCCAGGGGAAAAACATGCTGAAATAGCTTCAGATACACCTGGCACTCCAGAATCCAATACTATAAAATATGGAAGGTTCCAGCTCAACACAAGGAAAAGTCTTTTCACAGTGAGACGAGGCAAGCACTGGAATAGGCTACAGAGAGAGGCTGGAGGATCTCCCATTTTGTGATTTTTCCAGATCTGATTCGACAAAACCCTGAATAACCTGATCTGAACTCAACATCGACCCTCCTCTGAGCAGGAGGTTGGACTATGTGACTTCTCAAGGTCACAGCACACACCATGAATACATATGGAGTGTTTTTAGCAGGCTTTTTCCTGTCAGAAAAGGATGAAGAGAAGTAAATAGCAGGCAGGTTGTTATCTTGACCTCTAGAAGGCCACCTACCATTCCTACAACATCCTGTCATTTGTCAAGAGAACTGATAAAGATATCCAGGACCTGCAAACAACTCTAGAGAAAGTTGCTCAAATCAAACACATAAATAGTGCCTGGCTTTGCCTTCTCCCTTCTCAGCTTACTGAACTCCATGTTTTAAACCCTCAAGGCATATGGCCAAAGATGAGGATCTTCCTTCACAGTGCTAACTAGAATAGGCCAGAGTAAAATACATACGCTGGTGCCAAAGTGTTGCCAGGATCCCACATGGTTGAAACCTGTTGTGATTCCAAACGCTGTTATGGCAAATAACACAATTTATAAAATGAATGTGACTGAAGGAATATTTATTCTTCAAAGAGTGAAGACATCTTTAATGTTTTTACTAGTGTCAAAATGCTGGTATGAAGTCCCTGAGGCACAAATTGCTGGAAACTGAGGGAGAACATTCTGGAGAATATTCTCACAGCCTTTTCAATTAAGTGAGGAGAACGTCAAACCAGGTCCTGCAGGGCATTCTGCTACTATTATTCTCTACAGCCAAACAGCAGGCACACTTAAAATTCAGTGACATCCATTATTCTGAGCAAAACTGTTTCACATGGAATCACAGCTTCAAAAATATGCATTAGCAACAATGTGGAAAGACCACCAATATTATGCATTTCTGTGGTCCTGAAATGGATGTGCCAAAGCTGCTTCCAGAGATATGTGTAATTCCAGACCCAGACATAAGCTTCAGCTTCAGTGAAACCAGGCTCGTGAACTGGGTAAAGACTCCCCTGCAAATGGGACGGAGTTCAACACTCTGTGTATTGAGAAAGAACGTGCTCCTGGCATGTCTGGGACTGTGCAGCTTGCATCTTCACTGCCACACTTCAGGACTTGTGTTCTGAATTTAATTAAAAAAGAAAAAAGCAAACAAACAAAAAAACCTTACAGCGTCTTTACAACGAAGTCTCTATATACTTACTTTGCAAAGCCTATAAAATCTTCATGGTTGGTGTTGATGTAAGAAACCTGAATATCAATCAGCAGCAGCATCTGTTAGAGATAGGAGAGAAAAAATTAAGGGTAAGGTGGAAGAGAAAGACTGAAGAAAAGGAAGGGAATAAAAACCAGAACTTTAGTGTTTTCTGCATTATTGAATATTGCTTTAACAATTGTTCAAGCCAAAAGCAATATTTTCTAAATTCCACTGCTTCTGTTTCTGTGTTTGTTTAATAAGTTAGACTACAGAAGAGCTATTCCCTCTTCCTATTTTTTTTCCTGACAGACCTCATTTTTCACTCTTTTGGCCCTTGCCCACTCCATTAAGATCAATCATACACAAGCAGAGAGAGTTTATTAATTATATAACAGATTCTAGCTCTACGTTTTGTAAGTCAAGCAAAACTCTGTCTATCTGTAGCATGCCAGCCAAGCCAGCAAAGAACCTGAACTTTAAACCTAAAATCCAGGTACTTCCATTTTCTTTATGTGCCACACAAAGAAGTGATGGGCAAGCTAAGCCCTGGTCCAGAAAATGTACAGCCCAGGTACTAGACAGCAATTCTGGTGTGCACATCTGGATTAAGGGAAGGGATATCAAAGAAACAAAGGAATGGTTTGTGTACTTATCACTTGCCAGTCCTTCAACAGCCCAGAGACAGAATTTGATTCAAACTCTATAATCTAACTCAAGAAAAAAACTTGCTAAAATATTAGTAAAAGCTCACTGCCACCCTTCAACAGCTCCTGAAACAAAAGACTGCACTTTTCCCCTGTCTTTTCAGACTTCCATGTATCAGCAGGGAGAAAGAAAGGAACCTATTGCTACCAAATGGTAGTACTTAATCTCTTCAAAGTGTACAGAATTATTTTTGTACAGCTCCTCAGACAGAGCATCACTCCCAAATGCTTCACAGTTTCCAGAAGACATTAGGGTGCCTCACTTGGAGCAAAAAATAACGGGGATTTGGATCTAGTTCTTACCTCTGAAAATATCCTCAGAATTGTTTTATTAATGATAACTGATAACAGCATAAATAATGCTATAAATAAGTGACAATAACCCATTTGGCCAGTTTTTGGTATTTACAGAAAGCTGGTACTTTGTGCTTGGTTCTGGGAAATAGTCAGGCATGTGCACACAACGAAGAATGGGAAAACAAGACTCAATTATTCAAAGTAACTTGTATCTTCTCCCAAATTTTGAGATAACTGAGTGTTCTAACTAGAACTCCCTGCAAGTACAAGCCCAGCAAATAAATGTAATGATTTTTAAGAACTATATTTGCAGCACAGAATAAGGGAAAATAAGCAGGATGTGCTGCACAGCTCTCTAGTTTGTACAGGGACTGGATTACAGAGTCAGGAGTCCAGAACAACTTAGGAGGTCTGCCTAGCTCTTCTTCCCCAAATATTTCTGTTGTCACACTGCACTCTCCAGACAATAATTCCTGTTCCCACTTCCAGTGGATTTTCTAACATGTAATCTAAGCTTTGCAGTTTCCTGGATTTGGAGTGCTTAGCTGGGTGATGAATGCTCTAAACAAGTTCCTCTGAATTTTTGGGGGTTTTTTTTACATTTTTTGACCTTGAAGGGAAGCTTGTCACTCCTGCAAGAGTATCGGTACCGTTAGTTGTGAGCACTGCTGTAATTAGAGGATGGGATAGGTACATTAATAACACCTGGAAACAAAGTAGACAAAAGGCTGGCTATTTCTGTGTGCAGTTGTTTAATCACTAATGGGCGCATTGGCACAGGAACAAGCCAACGCTACTTTAAGCCACTACTTAACCCTTCTGTAACAATTTTAGTATCCTCTGTCAAAGCTCAATGGTAAAGAAGCAATTTTTCCCCCTCTCTAAAACGTGAAGTCTGTTTAAAAAAAAAAAAAGAAAAATCTTTCATTGTCTTACTGCACTTTGTATGTAAGAACTTCCCTCCCTTACACAGTTCTCCAAACTGTCAGATCTCCTGTTTATTCTCACCTGATCCTTGGTCTTCTCTTCTCTTTCACGAATGTAACCCGCAACAATTCTTTCTGTTTCCTCACACAACCTTGGATAAGTTGCCAACTGAAACACAAAGTTAACAGACATTTACCCCTGCAGTGTGGCTCCAGTGGAATACAAACTGGGGAGCCTCCAGTTTTCCTCTTTGGACGAAAGCAAATACTAGGAATTCTTGGGCTCAAAGTTACCCATGCTGCAAAGCAAGCCTTATTTGTTTTTCTTCAGAGAAACTGGAGAGGCCTAAACCCTTAGCTTGTTTCTATGCTTTTGCTCCATGGAACATAAATGAAAAGACACTTCAGACATATGAAAACACAGCCTATCAGCCTTGGGGTGAGGTTTCTCTCTCTTCTACTGTGCCTAATTCCAAAGTGGCACTTAAACAATTTCCAGATTTCTTGTTCTTTAAAGGCTCCACCTTGTGGCAACATCTTTACATAACAATACTTAAATATAAACAGCAAAATACAACGGTAAATTTGCCCAATTCTCTCAGGAAAAGCATCTGCACAATTAATTCAAGTGATGTATCTTCCAAACTTTGACAAAAGTGAAAAAAATCTGGAAACTCCCTTCAAAATACAGCGGTGAATCTGCTTCTCTATGATCTTTGCCTTTCCTGTTTTAAGAAATATCTGCTTTACCTGCTCATCAGTATAAAAAAATTTGCTTTATTCGGAAAAATGCAGAGGATGTGGCAGGATATTTCTCAACAACTTCATCATAATTGTGCCCACATCCCAGAACAGCTTCTGTACTTGCTGCTCTGTACCCTGCACTGAGCTGGTGGGACAGACAGATGGACAGGTGAGACAGTGAAAGTAGCCAGTTAGCTAAGAAGTGTAAACATGGTTCTGAAGAGGAAGCTGGGGGCATCACTTGACTCAAAAACACCTCCCATCATAAGATTTAAAAGAAAGGAGTAAAAAAAAAAATGAACTTTGCCATCATTACACTGTTTTGAGAGCTTTGCAGACGTAATTATTTGAGAGAGTCTTACTCTGTACATAAGTGACTGGATCAGAAATTTCTTGTAATACTACAAAATGCAAGACAGGCTTTACATTATCTACCACACCATTACATTTTACTTACATTACCAAATCTATGTGCAAGCTACCTTTTTAGTGCACTTCTTGACAGTGTTGATTAACTCTTGCATCACCAGATCCACACTTTTTAAGCAAGGTCCTTTCAGCTTAACTATCTGTTTTTTAACAATGGCTTCGAACGCCATATCTGGAGTAAACAAACCTGTTCTGTGGACATAAAAAAACATGTAAGACAGTAACAAAAACATCATGCAAGGAAGATTATTTTTTTTTACTGAATTGCTCAAATCTTCATTTTCAGAGCTGAGCGATAACAATCTCTACACGAAGAGACTTCCACAGAACTAAATTTGCTTTTTTCTCAAGCAAGTGTCATTCTGAGTAACAATATACAAGTAGAAATATGCTTGAAAGATATACAAGTAGAAACTACTTCCAGATGTCTGTGAGAACTCTAAAGGGTACTGATATAATGCAGTAAAGCCTCATCAGCACTGCATCAAACCTTCCAGGAGGGATGAATGGCAGCTGCAGCACTCCATGCACAGTCACCTGCACAGCAAATCCATAAGAATCCTACATCTGCACTTTTCACTCACACCAGGAAATGTCGTTCTGTTATTCAGGGTCCAACGTGGAGAATTTCACAGTTCACTGCAGGGTATATGAAGCTATATAACAGATACCCCACAGAGCCAGTCCTAAACAAATGGGCCTTACTTCTCTTTCAAACACTGTTTACCAAGGTCTATCTTGGCAAATAAATTATATTTAAAAAAAAATAAAATCAAACCATAAAAACATGCCCAAAACTATCAGTTCAGTACCATAAATCAAGACCTCCCCATCGACAAGGCAAGGAAAGCTCAAATACTTCCCCACAGCTACTAATGTCAACCTTCTGAGAACTTACTAACCAAGGAACATAAGGAACAGTTTCCAAAACACAAAGAACAACAAAGCTTGCAAGCAGTGCTTTCCAAAGATATTACACCTGTATAACGAGACTGGGCTTGAAAACATGGGAGCACTTGCCTGATACCATGTATGTTCTTGATGGCATAACTTATTTCTCTCCGCAGTTCCTTCTCGTTGAATTCCATCTAGAGGAACAAAAGCACGTGAGAGCATATTAGGGTAAGTTCTTAATGAAAACAGAAAATATTACCTCTCCTAGTATGACCAGAAGACAAGTAAGTTCAACTGTCAAAACAGTAATTTCTAATAACACTAAACAAAGCATTAAGTATTTTAAAACATTTTAACACTAAGGCTACAGGCAGCAGTAAGGATTGTTGAAAATCACACACTCAGATATACAAACAGCTGGAATGATTTTGTACAGTCGACAAAGTAAGTCAGAAACAGGATTTGGAAGATGCTACTTTTTTTTTAGACCTCTTTTCTTGAAGAGGTGCATCTTCTGTGATTATGGTCTGTTTATCCTCTCCTTCCCACTCTACTGTTTTTCAACCAAATTTAAAAGAGGAGTTGTTTCAATTATGAAGTTATAAAGCTTTTCTTCAAGTTTCTTTTGAAAGTCAGCTAGCTGGAAGTTAGTGCTGTCACAAATGAAGGGGTCATTACCTAAGCCCAACTATCACAGAATTATAGAATAATTTGGATTGCAAGGGACCTACCCTGCTCCACCTCTCACTATGAAAGCATAGGACTGAAAGCTGGCTTTGGTTTAATGTACTGAATATGGGAAGTAGAACACACAGAAAATGGTTATTTTCCATAATTCTAATTTTAATAGATACTAGGTCTTTGAACACAACTTAAATTTACCAACTGGAGTGGTCTGCCTGCCCCATTTAACCAGAAGAAAGATGCCATTTGTGATAAAACAACAGAGAAGTACAGAAACTAGTATGAACTGGGACTATAATTACATTCTAATTCATTTACTTTAGAATTCTTAGCATGTCTCAGTTTCCAATCCTAGAAATTAAGCCAAAGGTCTTAAGTATAACTTCATGTAATTTCTTCCACACTTAAGAGCATGTTCTTCCAATCAGACCTTTTCTTGGCTATACTATTATCAGCATGAACATAAGAATACATAAATAAGGCACAAAGCACAACAGCAAGACGGATAAATACCTTCACTAGTTCAAAAGGAAAACGTTCATGGAAAATTCGGTTGATTTTGGCACCTCCTGAAAGTTCTAGTGTATCAACTTGATCTCCTGATCCTTCGATTCTTTTTTCAAAGTCCACTGAAAACTGTTGTACCATCCTAAATTTTAAAGGGGGTGAGAAAAAAAAAAAAACAAACAACAAACACAACCGCTTAAGTATGTCAAGTACTAACTCTTACTTCAGTACTATTGACTACTAGTGCCTGATAAAACATGTTTAGGAATTGACAAAAGTATCTTTGAACAACAGTTGATTCAGCCAAGTTGTCAATTCATAAAATCCATACCTACACACATCCCCCTGCATCCCTTTTCTCTTGTAGGACCTCACACAGTATATTTTTTTTTTTCTTCATAAATGTTGTGGGTGGGGGAAGCACCGTTTATTAAACTTTATTATAAAGTCAGCTAAAAATACAGCAGGGTACCAAGCTACATTCATTTGTTATCAACGATAACACAATTTCAAATGATGTTATTACTTATTAAATAGATGCTTAATTATTTTTTTAACGAAGAAAAAGTGATAGCAGTCTTTTTAGTAGGATAACAAAATAAGAGTCCTGACATTTAAGTTATAATACATAATGTATTTGAATAGAAAAGCACATCCATATTCAGATGATGTTACAAAAACTGCAGACAGGGCAGACCACCACAAGAAAATATCCCAAATTTTAAGGCAATTGGTTCAATTTGCAGAGTTTATTTCTCCACAGTGACCCTTGGATCTTCCTAACATGGCCATGTGGCAGCTGTCAGTACCACAAGCTCCAGCTCACTTGGTTGTGCTTACACTTCTGCAGCAGGAGCATTCAGAAAAACACACAGGAGAATTCTTCCAGTCATGGAAAAGCCAAAGGTGATGGCCCTCTGTTTGTGCAACTAAAACATCTGGAGTAAAGTCATGAGGAACTGACTTATGTCTTCTCTTTTGGACACAGTTGTTACAAAAATAAGGAGTAAATTGGAGTCTTCAGCTGACTCAAGAAAGTCTCTCTAGTTCAGCTGATTATTTTCCCTTCTGAATTTCAGACTTCTAACTACAGAATGAATCCTGCACAAAACTCATGCGTTATCACAATCCATTGCTATTACCATCTATCTCAGAATGCTGAAAACCTTTGAAATCAGTCAGAGCAGGAATGTGACAACAGTCATATAAGATATAAGAGCTAGGTACATTTTACACCTCTCTTTCCCCCTCTGCATACTTCCTCTCCTAAGAGGTACATTTTAATTGCATATGAACACAAAAGTGGCTGCAGAGGGTTAATCTTAAAAAAAAGAGGGAGAACAAAAATGGCAGACCAGTATTGGGCATCTCTGGAAACAGAGCAGGTAAGGAAACAGCACGAAGCAAAGCAACAGGTGCCAAGTGGTGTTCAACCTGAAACGTCAGATTGGCCTTTTTCCACAGTGCTAAATCCACAATCAAGAAAGGGTTCTGATTCCAATTCCACATGATTCAAAGTCAGATGAACAGTTATCTCTGTTCCCTTCCTTTACAGTGGTGTTATCAAAGATCTCTAGGTCTTAGGTGCACAATACATGAAGGACTACCATCTATGATTAATTTTGATCTTACCACCTTTGAGTTCTTTTGGAAAGACAAGTTCTTATATTAGAAAAAGAAGCATTCCCTACTCTCCTTCCACCCTCCTCATCTTACAGACTTCTAACACAATGTCCTTCCCTTGCTTGAGGTCATCTTTTTGGCAGACAGAAGAATGTGCCTATACAATCAGAAGCAGTTTCTTACCTTTCATCATCTCTGATGCCCATCTTTATACCTTTTCCTTGCTCTGCTTTCTCTCTTTCCTAGGATTACTAAAATTAATTTAGGGAAAACTGCTGAAATTGTAGAGTATATAAAGCGTTTGGGAACATCAAACACAGAATTCTTTGGAGTTCACATATAAAATCCTTAATCATATCCTAATCTTTAGATTTAAACCTATTAGAAAGAAGAAAAAAAGAAGTAAAACAAACCTATACAGAGCAGAAAAGCAGACAAAAGACACTCACTGCAGCAAGGCTTTTGTTTTTCTGGTTGGATCTTCTGGTCTGAAGTTTTTGTATACCTCTACTTCATGTTCTATAGAAAGCAGTTGGCTCTGGAGTTTGCTTCTGAAGGCTGGCAGAGTATCCCGAATATGATTGGTAAGTTGCTAAAAAGCAAATAAAAGTCCTTTTATATTGTAAATAAAGATGAAAGCAGGAGCACAACCATTTCCTTCTGACTGCCAAGTTTATCAGCCATGACCTGTGCTAGTTTACCAGGGCAATTCCTTTTGATCTCTGAAGTAATGGAGGCTGTTAAAGAACAATACAATATTCTTTGTGCATACACATTGTAAAGAGGCTCCAAAAATTCCTTTGTCCTCTCACTCACTGAGCCCTGTTACTACATACCTACCTAGTTACTCACGAAAAAGTTACACACATGACATGTAATTTGAAATGACCTCTCATCACTCAGTGCTGATGCCATCACTCCTGTTTTGCTTGTTTTCCTAAAGGTGTTTCCCAATTCCATACGTGCTTGTTCAGCACGATGACTCCTTTGCAGCCACAAAAAAAGAGATTCTGAGCATCCACATCCCATTGATGGGCATTACTCCAGAGGTGGAGGAAAGTACAGACATCAGAGTAGCTTCTTGGCACTTTCCTAAGTGATTTTTGCTCCCTTGTGCAAAGCATACTAAAGGGAAGAGATCTGTCCCTCATATTAATGGTTTTATAATTTTTCCTTTTTTAAACATTTGATTTTCAGCTGAAAAAGGTTCTACCACTCAATAGTTTCAGTTTTTGTTTCTGAAAATATACCAAAATGTACTGGAAAATAAATTGAACAAGAGTAGAAAAGGACTTACCAGATCTGTGTTTAACTTATCTCACTTGTTTTTGCGTATATATTGTACTGTGTTAGGACAGCACTATCAATGTCTTACCTGTGCCATAAATTTCTCATGCATTGTACCCATTCTTTAATTAAAACTAAACTGGGCTTCTTGCACTATGCCCCAAGCCCTTTTCTCTACCCCAATCAAACAAGCTATAAATTCAGAATGTCATATACCAGAACAAACTCAAATTTAAAGTCGTTCACCAGACTGACAGGCACAAAATCGAAAGCTGGAGTTTCCCTGGAGCACCACCTTGTGGATGCCGAGAAACTGAATTATTACCTGAAACCACAAACACTAACACGTCCCCAGTATCTTAAGGACAAAACTTATGCAGATCTTCCCCTATATAATATTCTACACACAGTAAAAGCAACAAAAGATCAACAGTTCCTACTGAAGTAGGTAGATTTTCAAAACAGCTCACAAAAAATGTAATAGGATATAAAGTAATGAAAATCAGGACAGATAAGACTGTCCAAAGGGATATGTAGCCTGTGCTTCAGTCTCAAAACTAGGACATGGGAATCACACTTTCAATATATAAAAAGAGGCAAAACATTCTAAACACAGGCAAAATTGCATCCTCATTAGGGTCACAGGCTGGTCAAGCTAAGAAAGGGCTCTACCAAAAGAGCAATACCCAGAGACCCAAAATGGTGAAGAGAACTCCAAGCCTGCTGTAGGCAGGGCCTTAATTAGGACAGTAATTTATGGCTTTCTCCTCCAGGTAACTGGGAAATAGCTCTATTTCCAGCTGAAGGAAGTTGAATTAAAACACAGTTTGGCACAAACTTATAGATATAAACCAGAGCTTTTGGCAAAAATAAAAGTAGGGTGGCAAAGTGCTCTGATTACTGTCATTTGTCATTTATATCATTAGTACACAGTATATGTTTATAGTAACAACTACAATAAAGTGTACATTTTGAGGTTAAAGTACAGACACACAGTGCATCCTCAGGATACATGACTTCTAAAATTGTCTTTTTTTATCCCTAATTTCTAAATTTGAGTGCTAAAAATCCTGTTAAGAGAAATGTGATAAGAAAGGAATAGGATGGTGTACTCCCAGGAAGGGAGAGAAATCTTATTTTTGATGTTCATATTCAGTATTCAAGAGAACAGGGAGGTGCAAAACTGTCAGTACAAGTCAGAAACCACATCTCACAGCAAGCTTTTGTATGGTACAGGTAATATACAGCTTTGTTTTTACCTTGTGCAAATTAAACCCATTAAAAGCAGGAAATAATAAGTGAGGTTCAGTGACCAACATTCATTTTAATAAAGCTTTTGTATTGGCCCTACCATTATTATAAAGCTGCCTTTCACCACCAAGGCTTCAGGTTTTACCTGGTTTAGAACTTTCTGGAGATACGGCGTTCCCATCCGATCTGCCATGTGCCTGTAGGACGGGTGGGAAAGAAAGAATTTCCTTTCTGCTAGAAGAGCTGCTTTTATGTCCTTCTTCCCATCAATGTCCTTCTGGCTTCTGTTTACAACACCAATATAACCTAAAACAACACAAACCCAACAGGTAAATCAATGCAGCTATTGCCTGAACTGCTGAATTCACCTTGACTAGAACTAAACTTTCAAATTTAGGCATTTCAGATACTGTTTACAAGTACTCAAGTGCCCTTAATGCTGTTTAGATTTTTCATTCTGTTTAGATATAACAGATACACTTACTTTTAAATCACCAGTGCAAAAAGAGAAATATATGAAACTCTGGCAAATCCCAAAGAAACCTTTTCAAAAATAAACCAACAAAAAATCCAAACCAAAAATCAAAACACACACACAGGTCCACAGAGATAAATGATGTAGTATTAACAAAATACAGAAAAAAATTCTCATTTGCTGGATCAATGGGAGGAGATTGTAGTTTCATCCATAAATTATAACTAGAAACAAAATTATTACTATTATTAACAGCATGAGCAACTGTGCCCGTAGCTGCCAGAACAATCACATGGAAGATTTCTGGAAGGTATAATAAATTGTTTTATAGTGAGATTACCAAAGCTCTGGTGCTTGTTGCTGTCACATGCAAAGAAAAAAAGATTCACGTGTTACAAGTGACAGCAATCTGGCAGAGAAGAAAAAAATTGGCTAAAAGCTTGTGCTGACATTTCTTGCTTCCTCTGGAATATGCAGTTTGTTTTCCAGGTCCAGAAAAAAACTTGCAGGATATTTTTAGCACAGCCATCTTTTACATTTGGTGAATAGATACCTGTAAAAGCAAAGAACTCATCAAGTCCAGCATAACCTTTGATTCATCTCCAGGACTCCTAAACATTACCCTTTATCCAAACCACTTTCTGGATTGCAAAGAATACAGGCAACTGAACATTCTCACCTCTACGAAGAGGGAGTAGTTTGTTTTCTAGAACTTCTCTCGCATCTGTTCCTTCATCCATCAGATCCAATTTTGTGATCACACCAATGGTCCTAAGGCCTGACCAGGGTGGAGACAGGAGGAAAAAGTTACTGAAGAATCATTTTGATTCAGGAAGAACAATTACAATTATATAATAAAAGACATGTAGCCTTCTCAAAACTTGTATCACACCCTACCAGCTACAACTCAAGTTATGGTATGTCTGGAAAAGAAGGGAACAGAATTGCTGAAACGTGTTCCTCAAATCTCTTTAACACAGCTCAGCATCCCTACAGTATGATTGTATAAAATTTATAAAGCAAGTACCCAGAAATCCCATCAGCATCATGGTCCATTTTGCCTGATACTACAAAAATTCCTAGATAGGCACTGCTGCACTTGCTTATAGGAGACAGTGACAAAATTTTTAAAATACATTTACAGCAACATTACCAGAACAACACTGAGCTAACCCCCTGTTGATGTTGAAGGCTGCATGAGAATGTACATATACATCTATTTAACATACTCTCCATTATAAAATTTCACACAAGAGTTGATCTATTACTTCCAATTATGTTCTTACACTGAGAACACAAAGTGGTAATCCATCAATGCTTACCCTGAGGGTCCACTTCCTTCGCCAGCTTCAGGGCATCAGAGTTGGCCAGATCAGTGTTCGCTGGAGTCACAGCCAGGATGAGACAGTTTTCCCGGGATATGAACTGCATTATCATGTCTCTGATCTGTTGCTCAATATCTGGAGGCTGATCCCCTACTGGCACTTTAGTGATTCCCGGCAAATCAATAAGGGTCAGGCTTAAGACTATACAGAAAACACAGGATCACAGAAGTGGTTAGCACACCAGACATGTCAAAGAGGTCTACACATCCATAGCTGCAGACAAATTTTAGTCACATAAAAGCCCTTTATGACCTTTACAGGCATATAAACATTGTCAGGAGTTCAAACAAAATGCCTGCCAATCTGAAAGGTATATTTGTTTCCCTGTTGGTCTTTCATCTCTGAATTTATTAGTGTTACTTAATATTTTTAATGTAACAACTGGTATAAGTATCATCTTATACCAAATATCCTTGAGGGCTCTTAGACAACTGAACGTGACTTTCTAAGCTTTGTCCCACAACAAGAGCACAGACAACAGACCATTCCCATTGCATCCTTCAAATCAATGCAAAACAGTTGTTTAGGTCGTTGGGTTTTTTTTAAAATACAGTCTTTCTCTGACCATGCTTTGAACAATGCCTCCAATTAAGAAATTCCAAAAAAAAGTCAATAGCAGGCCTAACTTATATAGCAAAATTGTTGTTAAGAGGTGGGGGGGTATATTGTTGTTCTGAAGATTTAGGGGTATTTTTTACTCTGCAACTTCTTCAGAAAAGTAATAAATATGAAGAAGTTAATCCATTAAGAAAACCTGATTTGCTCTGGCATGATTTCCCCAGTACAGGCCACAGTGCCAACTAAAAGCATCCCAGTTTGTTCAACAAGTACTGGGGCAACAGGGTATCCTGTAGACAAATGAGAAAAATGCTATTCCTAGAAAGGAAACACCAGAAGTATATTTTGGGTCTGGTTAATACAGACAGGAGTTGCTGAACTGAAGACTGATTTTACTAAAACAAAGTAAGAGCAATAGGTAGGAAATTTTCACTTTCTCCTGGAGTCAGCATGTTCAACCAACAAGCTTTGAGGCAGGAGATTTAGTTCAGCCCCTCTCCAGTTAGAAAAATAAAGTGCTTCAGCCAAACATACCACTTTTCTCCTGTATCAAAGACAGACTCAATGGGAAACATTTTCCCTAGCCTGCCTTCATTAAATTGGGCAGATGGTAACCAGAGGAACTAACTTTGATCTATACTGGGGGTCTAAAACAGAAAGCAGCTTCAAACACCATTATTGTCTGAACATGTTTTTAGTGACAGGGAACAATAAACTTCCAGTAAGGCAGGGAGACACAGTGACTTTCTAGATCACTGATCAGGGAATCCCTCTGGAGGGTGCAAAAAAGTTTTGCCATTAAGTCTCTCATCTCCTATTATTTGTCTTTACTAATGAGCTACCATCTCATGAATGTACTGGGGGAGAGACTGCTTTCATCTTGAGGCAAGGTGAGAATATTTTTAAATAAAGAGAATATTAAATGAGGTAGAGAGTCTATGTTCTGCCCATCTCTCATGGCCAACAGCTCTCCACTGTAGAGTGGTTTCTTAAAAACAGGAGAATTTGAGGATTCTTCCAGACACATACCCACTTTTGGTTCAACTTAGCCTCAGAAGCTTTTTCATCCCAGAAGAGCGAGCAGTAAAAACAAATCAAAAGGGCAATGGCTAGACAGACAGAGCTACATAATACATTATATGACAGAAGTGTAGAGGAGAATGATTTTACCTACCATGTGGAGAATATACTCTTAAATTAATAGGAATTGAAGAAATGCCTTTGTTCATTCCTGTTACTCTATCTGTTTCTGCTTCGATTTCCTGACGAACTTCATCAAAATCAGTAAATTTCTTCCCTTTGCAGTGCAGAAATTCAGCATACTCTGTGAAAAATGTCAACAATAACTCTGTTATTTCACAGGCTTATCAACTTAGACACCCACTTTCAAGGCCCTAGTGGTCTTCAGATGTGTGTGCACAGAAGCACACCATCATGGCTATCAGGAAAGCATTATTGTGATTACACATGTGAAAACCAGCCTGCAACGAGAAAGCTTAGTTAAAAAGTCAAGTTGTCTGGAAATGATTTACTGCTCTTATCTTTAGCACATCATCTTCTGGAACAACCTGAAAGATTCAATTAGATGCCATTTACAGTAATAGAATAAGGAACAGATTGTGAATCAGATTCTGAGTTTTCATCTGATTACATTTGCCTGTAATACATCACCAAATTGAAAAGTAATTCAAGTTCTGTATTATGAAAGATTATAAGCATTTGTTTCAAACACTAACAGCCCATGTCATGCACAAATTTAGCAAAGGAATTCAGTACATTTTTACAAGTTCATAATGAAAATAAGAGCAGTTAAAAACACTGTAATGTTTTCAACACAACTCCTCATTCCCTAAATCTTCCAGTTGTCTAAGTCCAAATCACACAAGTTTAAGCATCTATAGAAATAGCTGTGATTTCACTGAAGGGGGAGAACACAGTTAATTCCTAAGTTTTCAATATCATACAACTTGTCCTGTTACCTTAAAAGGGCATTGACCAGGAATCAGGGTAGATACAGCCTAATTTGTTAGACCCAAACTTGACACTAGGTCCCTGTTTTGACTCTTGAATCCCAATATTGATACTAATTACTGCAACCTTTTGGTTGCCTGCATAACCATGTTCCAGGATTTTAAAACTGGTCTTTCTTCCTTCAAAAAAAGAACACAGAAGTTGATGTCACATAGCAAGGCTGCAATCAGAACCAATGACACGAGTGGTAATCACAGGTACAGCTCACATCCTGTCCCCACGGGGTCTAAGCACTAGGACTGGAGAAGGGCTGAAAAGAGTCGTGTGTGTTCCACTTCATTTCATCCTGCAATCAAGGCCTGACTTCAAAGTTCTGTTTAGATGTTTCTTCCCCAGAAAATGTTTCTTGGTAACAAGCCCTCAGACACCAGGGGAAGGAGCTTGCTTGGTACTCAGAGAAAGAACAGCAGCTCAGGAGAACTAATCTGAGAACAGGGATTAATAGAGGACCTTATGAGTCAGTACTGAAGCCTGTTACTCAAAAGTCACTTTCTTACTATTATCAACAGAGCTTTTTAAATAAAATAAAATTAAATTAAAAAAAACACAAACCCTAAACAATAGTTAAAGCAAACTGAGAGACCAAAAAAAGAAAGACACAGAGGACGGGAAAATAACAAATATCAACCTTTCTGTCCTACAGTACCATAATCCCTCCAGATTCAAACTGTGAGGAACAGGGAAACTCACCCTTGTTAAGACAAAAATACATCACTTATTTTAAAAATGAGACCACCCACCAAAAACCCTCTGCCTCACTTTTGACAATTTAAACATTCCAGAATATCTTAGATTCTTTTTTTAGCTCCAGCAGCAAAATTACAATGAATGTGGAGTTTCATTGTCAACTGTTTATTTAAAAAGTCAAGGAATACTCAAATATTTCAAAATGAAAAATAATATCGTGCACAAAATAAAAGAGCTCTGTTGCTCTAGCACATTTGAGAATTTACATTTGCCAAATTTGTCATCTTAAAGTTGGAAAACATCTAACTCATTAAAAAAGAGCTGACATACTTTTTCCCAGTTCTTCATGCACTGCTCCTGGCATAAAACAATGTATTCTTCTTAGGTTTTCATCAGATTTTCTCAGAAAAATCTTTCTAAATTCAGTGAGTAATACTTGGTGCCGAGCTGGAATCAGCTGGCTGATTCAGCTGATTGCCAAGGAAGCTTTTCTTTTTGTTCCACTTCACACTCAGGAACAGAAAGAGTCGCTCTCTGAAATGGCTTCGAGGTAATAAAAAAAAAAAATTGTTTGTTACTTTTTAGCTGTGTTAATGCTTGTCAATAACTCATCCCTCCCAGCGGCATCTGCAGTCCCACCAGAGCTGCAGGAATAAACTTCACTGGGGTTCTTAACCTGTGGTGCCACACACAGCCCACGGAATGAAAATTCAAACGGACAAGCGGCGCTTTGTTTTGCTCCTTTCAGCCCTCAGCCTGTCCCTGGCAATGATGCCTTCAGCCAGACTGGAGAAGCACATGCTTTAATGCAATCTTCAGTTTCCAGCTTTCATACACAGAAGAATACTAAGGAAACATTTCACTTACATTTTTGTGGGAACGCACACAAAGCCAGACAAGAAAAAATGATCCTGCCTGATGTCCAGCTTTCAAACATGTATTTTTTTGTATAGAAAGGAAGTTACATTACAAGAAGGAACAATTAGATAAAAAATTAAAACAGTCTTTGCATGTAAAAAGCTTCCTTTCCTGCCCCCCCCCCCCCCCCCCCCAGTTCATTAAAAGCACCTTGGATGATGTAGAATGAAAAGGCTACCACAGCATAGTTCCTTGAGTGCATCCACAAGTGATTATTTATCTCTTCAATTTTTACTAAATTAGAGAAATAATACAGAGAAGTGTTATGGGACAACATCTTTTAAATGTTCCTAATTTTTCCAGTCAGTTATATCTCCCTATGCTTTTATGATTTAATCTTGTTTATGATTTTATATTGTTATTACCAATAAACAGCCACTGCTGTTCTCAAATCATTTAAATTACATCCACACTTGAGATGTTCCATAGATTTGTCTCTAAGCCAAAGAGAGCTGAGTGACAAGACATGGACCAGCCCTTAGAAATACACAAGAGATGTTTTGGAAAACATCCTTGATCCACATCAGCCTGAGCCCAAGACCTTCCAAAGCTCAAAGACTTTACCCTGTACAGAATAACCTGTTACTAGAGGTCAGGAATTCACCAAGATGAGAGACCAGGACTCAGAACTCCTCTCAACCTGATTTCAAAGAGTTGCTCCAAGTTGGTAATAGTATCCAGTCCAGAGCACTCAAAAGAGTTTCTGAGTTTTCCAGAAGGGTGGTTCATTAAATTGTAGGCCTCTACCAATCATTTTAAACACATACAGTAAAGGGGGAATACCTGCTATTATTGCATCTTCTACCTCCCAGCCCCTTAGAGAGATGTCACCCAAGCAACAACAGTCTTGTTGACTCCAACAAAGCACCTCACAAAGCCTCAAAACGCTTTTCAAGGGTGATTTCAAGAGTGTGTTTTAAAAACAGGCAAATAAACACCATCAGCAAAAGTACATCACCTCTTCTTTGATGATGGACCAGCTTTTCCTGAGCAAAGCAAATGCAGTTAAGTGAATCTGGACCGCAGCAAATCATTCAATAGTGCTTCATTGAAAAGAGAGGCACTATCAAAAGGCCTTGTTGCCTTAATCTATAATCTGTCTTCTACTTCACCATTTCTGAAGCTTTGCTAACAAGCTGAAGATTAAATATTCAAACTGAGGTATTCCCCTGCTAACCTTCAAGCAGAAAGGCTACAAGAAATAGAAGTACTCTGGTGTTTCCAGAAGACAAACCAGAAAATCCTGTCAATGCAGAGGATTGCAAGAATATCACAGAGCACAAGACAGAACAGTATTGAAAATAGTGTAGATCTGATGAAAATAACTGTCATAAAATACCAGGTCACGATCCTAGGAACCAATTAAATGGTTAATTATAAGGGTAGACACTTGTAGCAGAGAATGCAATAATCTTCCACATCTTTGAAACTTTTTGTTTGTAGAAGAAATACATCTCTGTTCTTTCAACCTTCTCCTATTAATCATGCTTTCCAAACTTCCGAACACTCACACAACCATCCTCCAGGAATTTTTCCTAAAGTCACGGAGGCAGAGCTCTCACCAGAGCTCTCTCTCCTTCCCAGGACTGAGAAAAAGCAGAATTAGTACTTGTAAGGCTGCATTTCTGTGATGCATCCTGTACGGTATTCACTTCTGTATTTTATAACAGCACATCAGTGAGTTACACTCTTAAAAATTCACTGTGAGCACCAGGTCCTTTTCTGAAAACATCAAGTACCAGCCTTTCAGTACAGAAATTGTCTTATCCCAACTGAATTCCTTCCTACTTTGGGGGCATTTCTCTTCTTTTGCAAGCAGTCTAAATTCCAGTTCTGCCCTCCAGTATCTTTTATATTCTCATTTGTATTTCCTGAACACAAACTTAATGAGCATACTCTATTCTGTCATCCTACCAATAATACCAAATACTGAACATGACCTGGAGGGATGTCCCTTCCACTCTGTAAACAACTATGCATCCATCTACAGGAGTCCTTTCTAAATCATGTTTCCCAAGATTGCTTATTATATTTTTAAAAAAAAAAACAAGATAATTTAAAAACCTTTACTGTACCCAAGATAAGACACCACCACGCCTTAATTGACAAGCCTGACACCCTGTAATAAAAAAGTATATTGCACTGATATGACAGGGTTATCTTCCTTGATGATTTGTGTTGGTTGCTGTTCATCTCAAAATATCTTTCAGATTGTTAGTTAATAACTAATTACAGATTTCTTTTTCTTGAAAGTGAACTTTGACTGATTCTTCTATCACTTTTTTTTATATATATCCTTCTGAAGATGGACAAATGCAGAGACATTTTCCATTTTTTCAGTGAGGGGATTCCATCTTTCCTGGTGTCACTGAGCATCAGTCTGGGATCAAAGAAACAAAAGCTTCCAGGTAAAACCACTTGTATTGTATTTTTGGGTACAATTAATCTGGCCCACCGTGAGCTGAAGCCCCTTTGACAGTGCTCATGGGAGATCTGGCCGAGCCTTCCAAGCCCTCAGCAGTCCCTGTGGATCAGCTCAGCTTGCCAGCACAGGCAGCAGCAGCCAGGGACACTGGCAGGTGCAAAGGAACATTTGCAGTCCCTACAACCTTACACTGCGCTTAAACTCAGGCTCCAGACCGGCAGCGTTATCCCTTTTCCAGGATATCAGTCCCATGTGGGTGATGAGCCTTCCACTGGCTCAGGAATGAGTCACCAGCCCCTACCTCCTTTTCCCCGTGGTGGTGTCACTTTTTAGCTTTTGGGCTACGCACCTCAATAATTTTTTTGGTCTCTACAGCATCCTTGTTCATCACCTGAACGAGGAGCTGCCAGAGAGTGGCATCCAGAAGACAGGAGCCACTGTCTTCCTCTTCTCCTTGCAAAGTGCCCAGTCTCTTCCCTACTATTGGCACTGTGGCATTTTTCTAGTTTTTGTCCTTTAGGACCTCCACATGCCTTCCTGCTGATGAAGCCTCTAAGATCATTTGTGTTAGCTGAAATAACCAATCTAAATTATTTTTATAATTTTTTTCATATTCTGTTAGAGGATTGCTTTTGCCACCAGAGGGCAACAGAAGATGGCTATCCTTGAGGAATAGTCTTGCAACAAATGAAATTTGGATTAAAGCTCAACAACTTCAATAGAAGAGAGCATCTGCAAGACTTCAGAAAAAACCAGGATGTCTTTTAAACCTTATGTTTGCTTTCAACTTACTATTTAATTAACAAAACTCAAACAAATTTGGGTATTGTATGTAGGACTCATTCATGTAAAACTGTCCACCTCAATAATGATTTTCAAAATCTGTTAATCTGCTGAAGCAAGAAGAAAATCTGAAATTCCTCCACAAACAGTTGACAAAATGATGAAAATAACTCTCCTAAAGCCAAGATATTTAACATACAAATAACAGGGTTTATATAGCAGGCAATGTGCTTTTAACAAACAGAAGACCTACAACAAAGGCTTCACCCAAAACTCAAGAGCATTTTTTGTTGCCTCTGCTGTTTAAAAAACATACTACCAAGTCTCAAGAAATACAGTCATTATTTCCCCTGCAGAAGCAGGAGAAAGCACAGCAAGAGGAAGAATAGATTGCTTAAGGTTATACAGAATGTGTGGCAACCGAAAAAAACCCATGAAACAAAAAGCCCACATCGGTCAAGATCTTTCTCAGGCATTTCAAGTCATTACCTTCTCAAAGCCTCCTCAGCAGCACCATATAAAAGTTATGGTAACACTGGCCAAACTTGCAGAGAGAAGATTAGGAGTTGAAATGGAACTAACTGGGTTGGGCACATGGTATGTTATGTTGCTCCAAGACAAGTGAACACTCACACAGCCTTAAAATTCTCATCCCAGGTCAACTGTGTGCCAACACTTATATCTTAAAGACACACAGAGAGAAATCCATCTAAAAGCCCAACTACAGGCATACATACAGCATTCCTGCTCCTGAAAAGCAGGAGTAAGAGAGTGAGAGACCAGCACCCTGCACTCACTGGGAGCTGCTGAAATACCACAACACGCCACATTTCAAACAAATGCTGCCTTGGTGAGAAAGCAGGAGCTCCCTGGATCTAACACTGCAGCACTCAAATACAGAAAGAATCAGTGTGTCTTTTACCTGAATTTAGAAATCAGAGTCTCACAAAATAAGGTGCCCTCACATCCAACTTCTCACCCAGAAAAAAAGCAGGTAGAACCCCTCCCACGTGCATCCTCTGAATGGATAATTTATGACAGCTGTCGTGCTCATCTTGCAAAATCAGACAGGCTCCCAGCTAAGAGCACCTGTGCCTTCTAAAACTCACTTAACTGCACCTTCCCAGGTGGGACTATTTTCTTCAAACCCATTATCTAACCTGAGCTCCTTCAGAGGCTGGCAACAACAGAGAACAAGCCATAGTCTTTCAGAGGACTGTAAATTCTTTAACATCCATATTCTGACTTTTTCAATGCTATTAGGTATTTCTCACATGATCAAACTCAGAGAAAAATACTCAAAACTAATTAAGACTATCTTGTCAGTTGCAATATTTAATTAAAACCTTTCTATTTGCCTCCAGGATTTCAGCTGAGTGCAGTATTTGCATGGATGTGGAGTGAAAATGTCATAAAGCCATTCAGAAATTGTACTAGGATCACCAAAATATGTTAGTGACTAAAAGAGGTCAAAAGGTCACTGCAAAATAGCTTTGCATTAACTGCACAGAATTTCTAAAAAAGAGGAAGTAAACAAATTTCTAAAAAAAATTAAATTAAAAATACTCCACACCTCTCATGAGATAAGTTTCTTAGTATTGACTTGTTTCATGTTACCCCTTGCAGAGGTAACAGCTCTTTACCCAGGTGTGTCAGATCTTTCACATGTTGGGGGCCCCTGGTAATTCCTCACAACCAGTTCCTGCTGCACCTTTCCATGACATGTCCAACCCTAATAATGGATGGTCACAGTTCCCTCTCACTGTGATGAGCACAGATTCCTCTGCTGCTTCATCCCCTACTGCAATGGCTCAAAGCTAAATGAAGCTTTAATCTCCTCTGTCAATCAAATTCACATTCCAAACCATTCTCAGCCAGTTCCAAAATGCTGATAAACTATCTTGTAGTCATCTCTGAATGCCTGTATAGAAAGTGCCCCCTTCTCTCCCCAGGAATACTATAAGATTAGGAATAGCTACTTTTAAGAGAGTCTAGAAAGATCCTTGGATGAGAAATAAGTTCTTACCTCAGCACCAAGAACCTGATACAGCCCTCCAATTATTCTATAACATTTTAGATATTTATGGCCTTCATAGAAATCAGTCCAGCATCAGCTTCCTGTAAAAGAACACTGTGCTTCTCTAAGCAGTTTGCTTTATTTTCTTTTCTTAAAATTAGTTCACAAAGATAAAGGTGGCTTAAAAGATAAAGTTATTTGGAATTTCAACACCAAAAACAACAACAGGGAACAAAGTTTAAAGAAAGTAACAAAATAATTAAAGCTTGCATTTTAAAGGTTTTGGCATCTAATCTCAAACAAGAAATACACAGCATTTCCCAAAGGGAGAAATATGCCTTGACATCCAGGAAACACAAAATTAGGCCGAAGTTCAGTTCTCCAGAATTTTTAAAGTTCCTGTTGTGTTATTTAAGTTATAATGAAGAATGACTTTTCAGCAGAGAAGGTACCTATACAGAGCCTATAGGCCTACCTAAAGCTAGTAATACTTTGTGAACATATTAATGAGGAAAATACCAGAAAGAGAGAAGCCATTTCAGTGTCCCCTCAACCAAGGGACAATGGTGACTTTACAGAACAGGGCAACATGGACCAGTTTAGGATGGATGTCAGTGAATAAGTATGTAACCACCTGAGGTCAGAGTGTGAGTTTTTACTTTACTCTCTGTCTCCACAGTTTAGTAATTTTGTTAGGAATGTCAGCACAGAGCCCAGTGCATTTTTTTTTCTTCTACTCTTACATGGTCTTGGGAAAATTAGATTGAGACTCTCCATAGCTGGGCCTTATTCTTGCATTTATTTCTGCATGCTCTGTTAGAGATCAAATGCCACATATGCAGAAATGGTAGGTGTGTATATCTCCAACTAAAACTTCATATTTAATATATAGAGAACACCATAAGCATATTACACACTTGGGAATCCTGAAGTTTCTAAGCTGAGCATACAGAAACACTGAATTCAACTGTTTTTTCTTTCTCTTCCACAGCATAAACACTATGGAAAATTTCACAGAGGCATTGAAAGTATGAACGTGCTTTAAAAGCAATAATCCACAAAAGAACCCTGAAGCCTAGACAGACAGCAGTCTACCTTCCTGATGAACAATGCAAAGATCTTTTAGGAAAAAATACTCACAGAAGCTTAATTACCCCTCACACATAAGGACAGAATGAAGTTTCACAGGCAGCTCCAATTTTGTTTCTTCCCCAGTTTCATGATGGTGCATAATTTAAAGAGCACTTATTGCTTTTAAAAGCTGTTTTGGATGCTATTTAATTACTTTTTACTCTTTTAAGCAGAAATCAATAGTAAACCAGTAATTTTTGTTGCTTACGTTGGTTTAGAAGCAACTACAAAAAAAAATTGGGTTGATGGAAAACCGTAGCTGCTTTTATATGTGCCAGGGAACTGAGCCACACCAAAGCAGATCAAGTGCCCCCTGGAAGGGGACAAAGTGGTGAATTCTGATGAAAGATCTCACTAAGTCACACAGCTTAGTGGTACATACAAAAATATTTATATTTTTGACCAGACAAATACACGAAGCCTTGTTTTCCCCCAATCCACCTTCTGCTCTATTTAGTGCAGTGAGCCCAACCAAAAAAGACAAGTTACAAAAACAAGCTGTGTGGAATCAAATCTGTGTGCACTGGAGCAAGAGTTAAAGGCAGAAGTGCAGCAATTTTGGTGTGTTAACTAATACAGATGCAAAGCTCATCAAGAAATGAATAAATCAAAGCTAATTTCTAAAACACAATGTATGTAATGATGCTTCTCTACTGCTTTGAGTGTGATCTTGGACTAATTCACTACATGTTCTAGGATTTAGATGCTACTTCCTAGACAGGACAATGAAATTAGTTGGTCCTGAGCATACAGCTTTAAAGCAGCAGGCCCTTGTTCCAGACAGTCTGGTGGCACCTTTCTTCACAACTTCCTAGAAAAATTTTTCCTCCTGTTGAAATACAGCAGCACTTTGTCCAGGCATTGACCCAAAAAGAGAAAGAAATTACCTGTTTTGGCAGTGATGAGTTGCAGGACCAATGGTCGTCTTGTCACAATTCCAGAACCTCGTGGAAGAAAATCCCTGGAAACATTAAAAAAAAAATACTTACTACCCAGAAAGTACTGTCCATTTACATAAGATATTGGACTAATTTGGAACCTCCTCTATACCTTGAGCTGCAGTGAAAATGGAAAGTTCATGGGGACAGATTTATATTAAACACTCCTATAAAATAGGGCTGTTAATTTTGGTTTGAAATAGCAGTAGGTCATTAGACAAATATGAATTAAAACTAAATTACTGTCTCAGGGCATTACCAAGCCTCTTCAAGGCCATTATACATAACACCTCAAAATTCACATTGCTTAGCAAGAGTACCCTCTCTAAAATAATTGTGTCAATCTACACTTGATTTGAAGAGGATTTGCACACATGAATACACACACCCCCCACACCAAAGCTCTGGCCAAACCAAACTGCCAGCACTCCACACCTACTCTTTCACACACTTCACTCCTGCCAGTTCAAATCCCCAAATAACCTTTCCAGCAACACATCTGCCCAGAAGTGTTTGAGTGAAAGCTGAGCACTGTGGAACAGCAGGAGGGATTGTCCTTGGACCAGAAAGCAAACAGTGGAGCAAAGACAGCAACTCTGTCTGATCATGATGCCTCCTATGATCCCAAAGATAGGGAGACTCATCATGCAGCTGAAACCCTAGAAAAACTTTGAACCAATCATTAGCTGCAAAACTAATTATTAGAAATCCAAAGCAAAATAAAAGACATTTTTCTCAGGGTCTTCCCCAGCTGCCATAAGTATTAAACTCTTAAAAACAATGAGATAAGGTTAAGTGAGAGGTTTTGAAGAGTGTTCCCTTCAAAACAGCATCTCCAGAGGAATAAAATTGAGGGGTAAACAGACAGTTGCACAATCAGTGTAAACTCATCAAAATCCCCTCGTTCTTCCTGCCTTCCCAGGGATGCTGAAGTACTCTCTTGGTGCCTTGGCAGCACTAACTCACCTCTCCAGCTCAGGTGAAAAGCAATGCAGCAAGTGGGTAGGGCATGAATTTTCAGTCAAATGGCAGAGCTGGTCTGGGTGACCGTGCTGTCATATGTGTAAGTGCCCAGATGAAGGGTGAGGCAGGAACGTGCAGTGGCTTTGGGAGAGGTGGGGAGAAGGACAAGAGTCAAAGGAAGAAAGATACAGCCCCGTCAGCCCTTCAGTCAGAACTGCTTAGATGGGTCTGCTCAAGCCACTTGAGAGATGACCTTTTGCCTATAACTATTGTTCAAACCTTCTGCTACTTAATGGATGCCTGATTTTATCAGTTCTTTTAACGACAGCACACAAACCTACAAGGTTTAAAACAAGCCTAGAGAGTAGATCTACGAAAAATAAACCACACAAATATTCAGGATATTATTTGTGCTAATCAGAGGATATTGGGACTGAGGAGTCCCAGGTCAGGACAGGCTCAGGAATGCAACAACGGTGAACCTTCTCAAGCATCAACAAGGTAAAAGCTTTGGCAGCCTGCAGAAGAGAAACAGGACAACTCTACTTGTGATATGGGATCTGAAGACTTCCTTCCTAACATAACATTAAGATATCAAAAAACCCTAAAAAATATCACATATCCAAGCAGTTCTAAGGCTCTGAGGAGCAAGACCGGCTGTCAGCTCTGCCCCGCACCACTTTAGTTTGAATGAAACGATGTTATTTCCAGCTAAATGGAGTGTTTCCCTTTCTCAGTACCTGTTAATGTGCGCTTAAAGTGGGATTGCTCTGCAAACCAAAGCACATCATGAAAGGGGAGGTTGTTCAAATACCAGCTAGCTCATTAACTTCTCTAACACAGACCTGCAGGCAAAAGTACAATTAATTAGGAATTTAAGTGATCTCTAAGACAATGATACTGCAAAAACATCAGGCGTACTGATTTAAATCTGCTGCAATGCTTTACAACACTTGAGACAGCAACAGGATACAGGAATTAGCTTAAAGAGATGCCAAAGGCCTTCAAATAGGTCTATCATAATTTCAGTACCTACTAATGGAGAGAAACCTGTCTCTCAATGAAGTGCCATCCCATGGAGAAACGGAGAAAATAGTAATAGGAACATATTCATACTTCTGTATGCACTGGAGTGACAGCAGCCCAGGATGGAGTAAACTCATTGAGGCTGCAGTTTCACACATTGATTTTCAAGCATTTCATATCTGATTTACTTTTTTTTTTTTTTTAAATTATTTCCCATCAAGAAGCTAAAATTAATTGCCATTCAGGACAAACTGATCACCCAAAACAGTGTCCTCTACAGCCCCACCTGAGGCAGAAAAATCCTTCAGGGAGTCAAAGGCTGAAAAGACTTATTGATTTTCTGCTTCAGACTAAGCACACTCAGCGATAAAGAACACTGTATTAATGCAACCCCCAGCTGGATACAACACTGACCTTTCCTCAACAGTAAAATTACAGAGAAAGGTAAGACAACAATTTTCCTTCAGAGCATCTCTTAACATGTCCAAAGATGATGGCATTCTTTAACCCTCTCTAATCAGTTGAATTACTGCCTCTTCAAGAAAGCATGAGCAGAGGTTCCTGCTTGGTGAGAGGGAGAACTGTACTGATCCCATAACCAACTAAGTGTGCAGCAGCAGGACATAAGGTTTCTGCTTCAAATGCAGAGTTTGAAGTGGGAAGAAGTCAAAGAATGAGGGTAAAAAAGGCATTTGCAGGGAGAAAATTTTGCCTCCCCTTAATGGGAATTTTACTGAATGGTATTTTAGCCCTATGAAAGAGACTTCAACCTCAATTAGTAAATCTGTCCACAGGGCATTTTACTTCTTTTTAAACATTTGAAATTTCAGCTTCAGCCACAAGGCAACAGCACCTGCGTGCATTCTCTGCACAGCTCAAGTGAGATACATAAACCCTAATTCTAGAAAAAAGTAATTCTTTAAACACACACAGAAATGTAAATCAAATCTGAAAGATAACTTGTATTTCTTTAGGAAAAGCAACACAGTACCACATTACAATTCTGGCAGCAGGGGAATCAGATTAAATCCTGTACAACTGCTTCTGCAGAAATGCCTACGCTGACGTCCACAAGACAGGATGCAGGTCCTCTCCTGCTCCCCTTGGAACAGAAAGCTTTGTACACAGGGTTTGTTAGTGGTCCTGAAAATAAACCCCCATATCTTTCAGAAGTAAGGGCAGTGAGAAATACAAGAAATACTCAGCCAAGTCTCAAAGGTTCCTTGTGACCAAAAGGACAATGCCCCTCCATGCTCTGGTGACACACTTAATATTCTTCTGACAGGTCTGAGAGAGCTGCTTTCCCACACCTTTTGTCAGTGTGTACAGGTAAGCTTAGTGAGAGCTGGGAGAAAAATCACATCAGAGTGGAAGCAGCTGCAAATAAATCCATCTAGGAAAAGGTACATGCCTGGAAATTTGTGTTCAAAGACAGTGAAAAGGGAGAGAAAAGGCTGCCTGCTGTGGTGGGGGGAGTGAGCACCTGTGAGCACAACTGCAGGAACACTTCACAATGATGAGGTGCAGGAAACAAGGAAGAAACACACTGTGCAAGAATAAAGCTGGGAATGAAAGCTGTACACCTTTAAAAGACATTCATCCTGCATTAAGAATCAAACTACTTTTGCATCTTTATTCTCAGAGCATTCTGAGCACAAAGCACTCTGCTGACAGCAGCTGTACCAGCTCAGCAGCAACGCCGCAGTGACAGGACAGTTTGGAGACCTTCAGCAAGGCCTGGCCACTGCTGAACGTATCAAATGCAAATAAGAAGCCGGCAGCCAGGTCTGCCAGAACATCACCTCAGTAGCTCTTAGAATGCACTCATCTGTTGGAATACCATTAAATACTTTCAAGAGCAAGGTATTTTCAGGGCAAAATAATTTTTACTCTAAAAGGTATGAAATTACTCATGTCTTACTGCACAATGTAAACTGTGCTGTCTTCGCTCTCTCCCGCAGCTCATTTCCAGTATCAGAGATCTGGAGAAGTGTATCTACCAACACGTTTGTTTAATGCATAAAGGTAACAGATAATAGTTTGATTTTGACTAGCTAAAACCCAGGTCTCATTAACTGATGTCAAAGGATGATGAAACAAGTTATCAATGGCCACAGCAACACTTTAGCAGTTTTACAATAACAAGCCAGTCTGGGCTTAAGAAGAGTCTCCTGAAGAGATGGGAACGCCCTTTCCATTTTCAGGAAGGGCAAAAACTACAGTGAAATGCTGAAAAGCAAACTAGACACAGGTTCCTTCAGTGAGGTTGTCTCATTATAATGCAGGACTAAGCTCACAAAGAAAGAACACAGATCAAACAAATAAACACAATGTGTTCCAGAGGGATTTCCAGGTAGGGTAAGAGCTTTCACGTAGGAGATGTCTAGCACAGTAACAGTATTTATTATGTTAAAAAAAAAAAAGAAAAAAGAAAAAAGAAAAAGAAAAGAGGACAAAACAGAAGAATCCCCAATTTGTGTGAAGAGTGATGATGCATCACTACTAAAAAGTTACTTGTGTTTTCAAAACATAATTTAAATTTGCTTTACTTTGCCAGTATAGGACCAAGAAATGTTCTGTACTTTGATCAGTTACAAGGTCCACATCACAGAGGATAAATGCCAACTAATTTACATCAATACCAATATAACTAATTCATACAAAACATAGGGGGCATCCAGGAAATCAAATAATGGAGGAAAATGTCAATGATTACACAACAACTGCATTAACTAAAGAGCTATGAACAATAAAAATTGATAGAGATGAATTGTAAAAAAAAAATAAAAAATCAGAACTTCCTCCAAAGAGAAAGCCTCCACGTTTTTCACAAAGGGTAGAAACAAGTCAGGCTCAGGACAAGAGCCATAGTTTTCTTACAGAAGAGCACAAATGCTACTTCATTTTGCCAACCAACATTCATAACATTCCTTATAAAAGTTTTTCCACTAACCCCAAGCCCATTCCAAGACCCTAACCACCCCTCAAATGCAGAAAGCCCATGATCCATCAGCAACTGATATGAACAACAGTG